AAGGTATTTTTCCCACTGGAATGCATTAAACCGAGTTTCAATGCATTCCAATGGGGAAAGGGTTTTCACATGACAATTTCGCTAAACAGCAATTTTCACGGGATGAATTATCATCGTCATGCAGGGCACCACTGTACTAAAGATGCAGAACTTCGACCCCAAAACTTGCCAACATCCTTGAAACGGATTATCGTCGTCATGCAGGGCACCACTGTACTAAAGATGCAGATACCGACTTGGAACTTGGCCCCCAAAACTTGCCAACATCCTTGAATTATAGTATAATACTATAGGTTTTTAATTATTATTTTAATTATTCACAGATTTTATTTTACCTGTTGTAATTACTGGTAATAACTATAGCCACAAGCATATGGAATTGTTAAAATGTGTTATAAGTCTTGAGGTTTTTTTTTAACTACTCAGATTTCAGATTTTACACTACAATAAATTCTATTTTACTTGGTATGAAAGTTATTAAGAAAGCTTCTAGACAGTACTTGTTGAGTAAGCTCTTTCACACATTTCCACACTATAAACATTTAATGAGATTGGTTCCCAACAGACTGTTTACTACTATCCATTTATTTCATGGCACTTTATTTGCAATGCAGAAGCAAGATAGAGCAAAGGTTATTTCAGGTTCCTATCCAGTGCCATTTTTCCATGCATAAAGAAAAATGATAACCATTTGATTCTGAAAGCATTCTTAAAAGGTTAAATAGGCGATCAATTTTTCTTTATCTAAGCTACCCAGCCTCAGGTGTCATTTGTACTACCTAGGCAAAAGCTACACAGAAAATTATGTACATAAAAGACATTGAACAATACAGTGCAAGAGCAAGAGTCAAGAATGTAAGTATGGGTGTTCATCCCTCCACTTCTTGAAAAGCCCTACCTATCCCAATTCAGAAGATTCATTGGATAAGTACCTCCTTGAACAGGAGGACCCATAACCAGAAGTAGATTTTGTCCCTTCCCCATATCATAGCAGCATGTGTCTCTTAACTGTTTTCTGTACATTTGTTTACCTATTTTGACACTGGCTTTGGGAACCCAAGATCCTCCAGATGTCCTTGGACTCCAACTCCCATCAGTCCCAGCCAGCACTACCAATAGATAAGGATGATGGGCAGTCTAGTCCAATAGTATCTGGATAATTACAGGTTCATCACCCCCTCAATACACAAGACATCTGATTTGTGTAATCTCCTTTATCCTCTGTTTTTAATGGGAAAATGCATAAAGCAGGTCTCGGCTTATTTGGTCACTGAGCGCTCAGAGATGTATAATGTGACTCAGCAGCTGTTTGGAAACAGCACTTTGTTACTCATTACTTTTTCTGTTTTTAGTAATTGGGGCTGACACAGTCACTCTTAAATGTTTCGACAAAAAGAAGCAAACATTAGAGAGGTGTAGAAAAACAACAACAAAATTTGACAGTGACAAGAAGCATATTACTTTTAAAAATAAATGGCCGATGTGTACTGAGTTCCTTTGAAAAGCAAGAGTTCCGAGCTCTACCACTGCCATGAAAAGAGGATTATTGGCTCTGGAAGTGTATGAACAAACCACATGACTTCTTTCACAGCTCCTTAGAAAGTGCAGAGGCTGAGCCCATAAATTATCTGACATGTTTTAGGGTGGCATGGCGGTTAGAAAAGGAATACAAAGAAAAGTTTAGAACATCATTCATACAAAACTACAGCTATCCAAATGTTTCATGAGTTGTATACAGATTCAGAAATGCTTGCTTTCTATTTATTAACACATTTGGATCAAATTTGTTACACAGCAAATTGTGTGGGTCAATTTATTTATGTGTGATTTTACTTATATGCCACTTTTCTTCCAGAATCAGGATCAAAGGAAGCATACCAAACAGTCTAAAAACAGTAGAACAATATAATACAATGAAATTACAAACACCAACATATACTAATTACGTTCATTATGTTAAAATGCAATTAAAATTAAAACACTTTAAAATTGCTTGATTAAAAATACTAATACTAGTTTTCCCTAGGATTTGATCAAAGCACACATCTGTTTCAAGATCCACATTGCAAGAATTGTTAGGAGGTGATTAAAAGGCTGTCTGCTTATTATGCAAAAAAAACCACCCTTCCCATTTAAACAAACGAAAGTGTGGCTACTGCCACATATGTTAAATACAGTATGGGGAATGGCAGGACATGGTGATACAATGTTGATCTCAGAGACAATGAATGGGCAAAAACTGCTTTTCTTTTTCCTTTCATGAGCCTCTGTGTAGTTTTTCTTCATTGCACCTCAGTATGCAGAAAAGATGCAGCGGAGTTAGAAATGAACACATGAAAATATAGTACTTTAGACCAATTAGTCCATCTGTACACTTTGGGACTATTTCTTGACCCTGTGTTGTGCCTGGAGCCTTAGGAGGTAACCATGGCCAGAAAGAACTTTGCCCCATTAGACTTGTACACCTGCTGTGTGGCCCTTCCCTAGAAGCTGGATGATCTTGCCTCCATAACAGAGAACTGGGTTTCCTGTGGCTGTCTTATTGTACTGTGGTCCATACAGGATTACCTCTGAAAATCACTTGGAGATTTTGGTCTAGTTGGGGCATGATGATGGGAGAATACAAGGGCTATGCTGAAGAGCTGCACTGCTTATTCATTTGTTTTGAAGCATAATTCAAAGTCTTGGCTTGAACTTTTAAAAGCCTCATAAATGGCCTCCTCGTAAATCAGGGATAGATAAATGCAGCCCTCTAAACCTTGCCTGCCACACTCCCCAAATTGGGTTTTTTTAACCGCACTAGGGGATATGAATTAACCCTGCCCCATAAAAGCATTTTTTTAAAAAAAGAAAAATACAGTGTTTCCCCGAAAATAAGACAGGGTCTTATATTAATTTTTGCTCCAAAAACACATTAGAGCTTATTCTCAGGGGATGTTTTGGTTTTTTCATGTACAACGATCTACATTTATTCAAATACAGTTGTGTCATCTTCTTCTGGTTGCTGCACAATGGTAGAGGGTGGGGTTTCACTTAACTGGGGCTTACTTTTGGGGGAGGGTTTGTATTACAAGCATCCTGAAAAATCATACTAGGGCTTATTTTCAGGTTAGGTCTTACTTTCAAAGAAACAGGGTATTTTGGAGAGGATGAGGTACAAAAGGGGATGAAGCCCTTCCAAGGTCCAGCGCTAGGTCTGTGTGGCCCTTAGAGGCTACCAAACCCTTTCTCAGATGACTCTTCCTCCGTGCACTGAATTCATAGGAAGCATTCCCACTCTAAGCTGATCATCAACTGACACTGATCCGCAGTATGGCTTTCATGCCAGTGACACCCTCATTGCAGGAATTTTCTCGCCAAAGAAATCCCCTGACTTAGCTTGATTCTTTCCAGTAGAAAAACTAAAAACGTCTTTTTCATAAGCTTTTCCAGGGAAGAAGAACTTGGTACTATCAAATTTTAAGACTACGTCAGGTGTTGTTAAATCATCTCTTGCCACTTTTAGTTTCTGTGGTTGTTTTGTTAACTGATGGATTGTTTTTCTGTTTTTATTGTGGTTTTATTTCTGTCTTTTAATGTTGTAAAAGAAGCTGCCAACGGGAGGCCTGCTACTGGCTATAGAGTGCAAATATAACTAAACAAAAAGATATAATCATTTATAAGATGACCCAATGGCTATGTCAAAGCATCTCTAATCGATATTAAGAGTATCAAAAAAGCTAGAACTAACTCTATGTGTTATATGCTGACAAGTTGCTTCTGACTTATGGTGACACCAATAAGGTTTTCAAGGTGCAGTGGTGCCTTGACTTACGAACGCCCTGACATACAAATGTTTTGAGTTATGAACAGCTCTGGATGCGAAATATTGCTTTGAGTTACGAACCGTGTCTTGACTTACGAACAAAAAAACTTTTCTGCCCCTTTTTTGACCTAAGTTCTTCTTAGGTCAAAAGAAGAAAAAAAGGAAAAATCTCCCCCTAGTGGTAGAGTATGGATTAACCGGCTTTGTATTAGTTCCTATGGGAACTAATACCTTGACTTAAGAACCGTGCCTTGACATAAGGACAAAACACAGCCGGAACAGATTAATTGGTTTTCAATGCATTACTATGCGAAATGCTGCCACCATTCCAATATGGATTAAGTTCTTAAGTCAAGGCACCACTGTATATGAGCAATTTACGGCGTGATTTAACATTGCCACCTCTCAATGAGTTTCTATGGTCAAGCAGGGATTTGAACCATAATGAATGAAATAACTAACTACTTTTAATCCATTTCTTTTTCTAATAACTATAATTGTGACAATGAGAAATTGAAAGATAATTTCACTCCTTTTGCAAGGCAACTGCAACTTTTAGTTCTTTTTATGGTTAATGGGGTGATCATACTTAATCTAGGGGAAATGTCACATGGCTCAAATGATGCCTCAAACGGTGTGTCATACTGCTTCTCCATGGTTTTTTTGTGAGTATTTAGATGATGACAAGATGAGTAGAAGGGGAATGTGTTTTCTACCCTATAACTTTGACTTGTAGCAGTCAGATTTTTTAGAGTGACTGAAGTTATTTTAGCTATTTTGCAGTAGAAGGAATCTGAAGAGTTATTTTTTTAAAAAAATGTAATTATAATTTTTAAAAGAAATGTTAAATGTAAATTTTAAATGTTCAAAAGTTTGATTTTAAACTATAACTTGAAACTATAACTTATTATTTGCTTTTTAAAAAAGTAATTTAGCAAAATCTGCACGTGTACATTCAGTCCCTCTCCTACAGGAAACAAAGCAAATACATCACTCCCCAATTAAAGATGCATGAATACCAAATTAACTAATTGGTCAGTGCAATACATCATCTAGGAGGAGATCTTGAGACTCTTGGCATGATATCGGCCATCAGATCGATAAACTCTGAGTTGCCACTTTACAAAAGCACAAGTCATTTTAAACAAATTAATGTGTTTTACAGAGAGTGCCATGTTGCTACACATTCACCTACCTCAAGTTCATCAAGTGCAGTTCCAAGGGTAGCTGCCTGTGATTCGGGCTCAGCCTTTTGATTACCGATTCCTTGAGAAGCATTAGAAATGGCATTGAGTGCATTCTCTATTTCATTGCAAACTGAATCCTTGCTGGCTTTAAGAGACTCAATGTCCGAATGTTCCAAACAAGCAGAGCAAACTGAATGAAGAAGAGGTGACTTTTCCTTCAGACAGGCACGTGCAGCTGCAATGTCATCTCGCTGATGGTGGGATTTTAAATCCTGCCAGAAAAAGCACAAATTTGTCTCTGTATAATACATCGGTATTATTATTCCTGTTGTTCTGAACAGTGACAGGCTGTGACAGATAAAACAGCAACACATTCTTGCTATCACTCCTGAATCTAGTATAGAAAATAGCAGATTTTGTTGCTCATCTAGAGCATACCTTGGATGAAGAAGTCATCAAGGAAGCAAATACAATGGACCCTCTACTTACGGAATTAATCTGTATTGGAACGGTGGCTGCAGGTCGAAAAGTCTGTAGGTCAAGTCTCCATTGACCTAGAATGCATTGAAAACCGATTAATTCCATAACCGGCCATTTTTGTTCCATTTTGGGTTTTTTTCTGGTCTGTAAGTCGATTCTCCGGCTGCAAGTCGAACCTAAATTTTACAGCCAGAGAAGTCTGTAACTCGAAAAGTCTGTAAGTCGAGCCGTCTGTAAGTCGAGGATCCACTGTAAGATGTTGTATGTGGTTTTTCAAGTGCCCAGAATAGGTATCGTAGTTTGAGTGTTGCACTGGGATTTGAAAGATCTAAGTTCTAGTCCCCATGAGGAAGTTTCAACTTGACAAAACTCACTGAGTGACCTTTAGAGGTTCCCTCTGAAAGATATTATTTTGTGATTAATGTGGGGAGGGAGGGAGCCATGTATGATAGCTTGAGCTCACAGAAGCAATGGTGGGGTGCAAATGTAAGAAACAAACAAGTCATTACTTTTGTGAGCATCTGAACAGCCTTGCAAACGTTTTTACACTGCCTTGTTGGATCAGCTAGTTCTTTGTTCCCAAACTGGTGCTTTTTTTACTTGACTAAAAGCCCCCCTCTATCTGCAGTCAGCAAAGGCCAACTAGTGCAACTGCCCTGGCCCAAGGGATTCTAGGCGCATATACACCTTTAGATGCCCATACATTTACAGTACTGTTCCTCCGTTCGTCTTGTAACTGTACATTTGTTTTTCCCCCATCAGGTGTGGAATTTTGCTGTAGAACCTGATCCCTGTTAAAATTCATTCTGTTGTTTTCAGCCCAGTGTGCAAGCCTATCAAGATCTTTTTGAATCCGGTTCCTGTCTTCCACGGTATTAGCTATTCCACCCTTTTTTGCTTGATCCGCAAATTCAATAAGCATACCCTGCACCCTTTCATCCAATTGAGCCCAAGACTGATCCTTGTGCTACCCACTTGTTACCTCATTCCAGTTTGAGAAAGAGCTGCTGATAAGCTGGTAAGTATGATTCTGACTGTGTATTCACTGGACAGTTGTTCTATCCAGCACACACCTAGTTAGCTTTCTAATCAGAATACAACCAACCGTGTATTCACTGGACAGTTGTTCTATCCAGCACACACCTAGTTAGCTTGCTAATCAGAATATCACGGGGCACTTGCGAATGCTTTGCTGAAGTCAAGATGTAATAAGTTTACAGCATTCCCGGGGCACTTGCAAATGCTTTGCTGAGTCAAGATGTAATAAGTTTACAGCATTCCCACTGTCTATCAGGGAGGTTATGCAATAGAAGTTTGAGATAAGATTAGTCTTGATTCATAAAGGAGTAGGTGATTTGTAATGTAACCGGTGCTCAGGGCATCTAGGAATTGAAAGGGTGGAGCCAACTATCCAGTACAGGCTGGTGCCCATTGAGTGGGGGGGGCAGATAGCAGGGAAGATACTGGTAGGCAGAGCCAAGAGGTCATGACTAGGTGGAGCTTATGACTTTCAGCCCATATTTGTTGACTATACCAGAGCAACCACATGCACAGAAAAGGCAAATGGAGACATGCAAATTCACTTTTTCATCAGTTCCAAGCAAAGAGTGAAATATGTCTCTGTTCTGTACAACCCAAACTTCCCTCCTATAGAGTTGTAGTTAGAAACAGCAAACTGAGGCATCAGGTGATGAAGACTATTAAACTGCAGTATTACAACCAAGCGACCAACATGAATTTAACCCAACTCCGGGAGGCAGTGGAAGACAGGAGGGCCTGGCATGCTCTGGTCCATGGGGTCATGAAGAGTCGGACATGACTAAATGACTAAACAATAACATTACGACCAAAGAACTGTTCACAAACTGGATTCAATCCGGCTTGAATTTGACTCAGCCTTCCATCCCTGCAAGATCGGTAAATTGAGAACCCAGCTCATGGGGGGCAATATGTAGTCTGCATAATTGTAAACCACCCAGAGAGTGCTTTCAGCACTGTGGGGCAGTATATAAGCAGCACACTTTGACATCCAAGGTCACAAGTGCAAAGCAAGGGGGTGGGTGGGATGAGGCTGAGTGCTAGGATCAGGGAAATGTTAGATTATAATCTGTCACTGTGTTTCTTGGAATTGCACTAGCAGTCTTGTCCCAGTCTTGGGCCACGGCTATTATAAATGGGTCTCTCCTTGAGGGCAGATTTCCATCTGCCCTTCCTTTCCAGTTCTACATATGGTTTTTTTTATTGATTTAATATACTACCAAACATACAGCTTGAGAGTTCTCCTTGCTCCCTCATGCATCACCCCTGCCCAGTGTTCCTTGTTTGTGTGATTTTTTTTTCTTGAGCAAAATCTACCATGGGCCTTAGGAAAGTAGTCTTTGGAGGTACAAAATCAGTATTTTCATAGAAGAGTTGCGAACTTTGTGGATTCTTTTTTTAAAACCATCATAGGTGAATCAAATGTAGAAAGTAATCCAGATAAACAGAGCTGACAAGAGTAGTAATTGAAAGATTCATTAACATACAGGGATCTTGAAGAAGGGATGCCATGATTCCCCCTGAGCTTTGAAAACTGAGCAGCCAACATAAGAAATCCTGAACAGCTCCACAGGGGAAGGATTTGTTGTTGAAGCTGATTGCATTAGCTATTATTCACACTGCCCACAACAAATTTCCTCGAAATGTGGATGAATCAATTATATGGAAAACCAGGAAAAAAATTATATGGAAGCAGCAAGAAAAAAATAATAATTCATCTTGAGTCATACGCAGAAGTCATTAACCTTAATGGTATTGTTAGATAGTAATTAAGTTGCATTTATGAGAGGTTTTATGGCTGAGGAGCTGGCTTGATAGCTCAGTGGTTTAGATATCTGGCTGCGGAGCCACAGACTGGAAGTTCAATTCCCCACTATGCCTCTGAAGAGAAGAGACAGCTTATGTAAGCTTTGGGCAAGCTCCAAAGTCCAAGGGCACCTGCAGAAGAAAGAAACTGAACATCTCTTTTGAGTATTCTCTACCTGGCAAACCCTAAAAAGGGTCATCATAAGCAGAATTGTCTGGATGGCACATGATGATGATTATTATTAGAGCTGAGGATAGAAATGGCAGAGAAGAATCCGGATGGTAATTGTGCATTTGAAGAAGAAAAGACAAATTCACCTCTTTTCTGCCCTTTTGCTACATTGCAAAATGTACTGAATTGCAAACCAATAAGTTGAGCGAATTCATTTATTTTTCTTGGTGTGACCAAGAAAATTAAATTTGAGCTTTTTATCTGTGACTGAGATGCCAGCATGCTCTAGTTAGTAATTATACCTCTCAGGACGTTTTTGTGGACTTAGAAGTCCTTGCCTTGGGTGTTTTTTTTTCCAGAAATCTTCTGAAAATTATGTTTTGTTGTATTATTTCTCCTGATGAAATGTGTCATATAAAGGAAGCCAGATTGGTTTTTTTTTTCACTTTAAAATGCTGTTGGTTTCTTTTTACATCTTCCTAGCCCTATCTTTCCTCTTCAGCATTTTATCTTTATATAACTTTTACTCAGATATCACTGCATTTTCAGTTACTTGTACAATTACTTCATGTTGAAATCTTGCCTGAGTCAGAAGGCTATTAAGTGGGCTTACGTAAGCTCCAATATCTGCCAATAAGGGGATGTGAAGAAGGTCCGAAGGAGAGTGTGCCATCTAATGAGACAGAGGGTGTAGTGGGAGGATCACAGCAGGAGAGTGTTGGTGTAGAGTCAGACTCAAGGGAGAACATGATTAAGGAAGGAGAGAGAGAAGGAGTTGAAAGAAAGGGGAAGGTGGAAATATGTCTGGTAGAGGAGAGCAGGAGTTGGAAGGGGGAGGAGCAAGAACTGTCAGTTTGGGAGGAGAGTATAAGTAGCTAAGGCGAACCGCGGTTTAAAGTAGAATCAGACATGTGGAAGCGCAAAAGAGAGCTGGAGAGACTGCAAGAGTATGAGAGAGTAAAAACCCAGGAGTTGTTGAGGGACTTTCGCAATCTGAAGCTAGGGGGTTTGCTTCCAGAGCCCCCACTTAAAGAATCAGGAGAAGTGAAATAATGAAACCTTGGAGTGGTCGGTGATCATGTTCCCCAAAGGAAAGGGAAGAGGATGACAGGTGATAAGACCAGATTCAAGATTTAATACTCCTCCACCTGAGGGGGATTGGGCCCAGCACCCATGCTGCGGCACCATTTGCGCAGTGAGGAGTGCTCCCCTCCGGAAACCCACTGATGTGGAGAAGTTTGGCCCAGCACCTCTGAGAAACCCACCGATGTGGAGAAGTTTGGCCCAGCACCTCTGTGAGTGTAACAGACTTTGGGCGGGAGTTCACATCTGACAGTTATAGCTTGTTGCCAGAATTAAGTTGTTCCGACCCGATTATGAACAATATTGATGCTTATGTAAGCAATAAAGATAAATATGTTAGAGTTAAGAAGACGTCTCCTGTGATATTTCCCATGCAAAATTAGAAGTTGTCAAAATTTGAAGCTGAACCCGATCACAGGGGATAACAATACTGACCTCCCTTAAGGAACTGGGATCAGGCAGGGTTGGGTATCTGATTAACCAGCATATGATGATCTTCATGGTGGTCAAATTGTGCAGGAAGTACCAGTAATCTAATCAGCATAAATGTCTGAGTTAATAATGTTCAGAGTTTTGAATTCCTGGTAAAATTCCTTTTTCTACACTATAGAAGTACAGAGACTCTCAAAGGAGAATAGCTACAAGTTTCTCTGTCTGTCTGTCTGTCTGTCTGTCTGTCTGTCTGTCTGTCTG